ATGCAAAAGCCTCTGCTGCAGCCTGGGTGGGGCGGGGTCTCAAGGAATCAAAGGGCGGAGTAAGCAGCTATGGTGGATCCTTAGCCCTGCCCTAAGGAGTCGTGCGTCTCAGTGTCCCGGTAACGGCTGCAAGCACCTCTGAGGGAAAGCCGCCCTCAAGTTCGCCCACTGCCAGACAGTCCAGTTACTCCCTGTATGAGTCCTGGGTCCCCAGAGACTTCCCGGAACCAGAGTTCAGAGCCGTCAGGAGCTTGTGACTCCCTCCAGATCCAAAAAGACAGCCGGGTCCTCAGGTGCCAGCCCCTTTCTGCGTGCGCGAGCCCCCGTACCTCTGCACTTTACTTCCACAGCTCCTCTGGCTCTCAGTGTGCTTTTCTTTCCTTCTAGTTGTAGAATTTACACTCAGCCAGCCTTCCTGTAGTTCTGGATGATGTCCGTTTTGTGTTCCTAGAAGATTTTTCAATTGTTGTGGGAGGCAGCAATTTCCCGGTGTTTATCTATGCCGCCATCTTAGTTTCTGAATTGGTTGATTTTTTAATTTGAAGCTAATCTTGTATTACCTGAACTAAACTATACTTGGACATATAGTATTATTCTTCTAATATACTGCAGAATATGTTTCCTAATAATTTGTAAAGGATATTTGCAAATATGTTCACAAGGGATATTGGTTTGTAATTTCTTTTCTTATAACGTCTTTGAATCGTTTTGATAGTAGGGAATGCTCAACTCATAACATGAACTGGAAAATGGTCTCTAGTCCTTTTCTCTTGACAGACTGTACATCATTGACATTTTAAAAATGTGTTTGATAAAATTTGTAAGTGAAGTCATCTGAGCCTACAATTTTCTTTGTGAAGGGATAATTACAAATTCAAGTACTTTAATGGGTATAGAACTATTCAGATTTTCTGTTTCTTCTTGTGTCAGTTTTGATAGCTTTTCTCCTTTCAGTTCTAGAATTTTGATTTAGTTCTTTTTTAGTTTCCTCTTCTCTACTGAGATTCCCTCCTTTTCATTCATTATTGGTATACTTTTTCATTTTGAACATTAATAGATTCTTTAAAGTTTAATTCCAACTTCTGATCATCTTGGGATTGGTTTATTTTGATTCCCTTTTGTCTTGTTTGTGGGTCACACTTTCCAATTTCTCCACTTGACTAGTAATTTTTAATTAAATTTACCTTTTAAGAACATTTTGGAAAATGAATTCTGCTATTTTTCCCCAAAGAATGATGAATTTTTTTCTAACAACCAGTTAACTTGACTGAACTAAACTCTAAATTTTGTTTCCACTATGATGGGTAGCAATTATGCTAAAACTTCCAGCTATTGCTTTTGCTGGGTCCCTTGTATCTCTCCACACAACACATGGGTAGTTCAGTGATTAGTGAAAATTTTGGGTGGAGTTTATAAACAGATTTTATTGCTCCCAATAACATATTATCTCACATATATGTGGACTCTAAAGAACAAAATAAACAAATGAAACTGAAACAGACTCATAGATAACCACAACAACAGACTGATCATTGCCAGAAGGGGAGGAAGGTTGGGGACTGGGTGAAAAAAGTGAAGGGATTAAAATGAATAGTTACAAAATAGTCATGGGGATGTAAAGTACAGCATAAAGAATATAGTCAATAATATTGTAATGACTATGTATGGTGCCAGGTGGGCACTAGACTTATGGGGGAATCACTTCATAAATTATATAAATGTCTAAAAACTAATATAGAGTAATATTGAATATTAATTTTAAATGAAAAAGAAAAAAAATGACACCATCACCACCATCATCTCTCTAGAATTCCCATAGAATATTTTTAATGGAACAAGCTATATATTCACATACTCTTAAGCATAAAAAATAAATACCAGCAAACATTTAAATAGAATTTAAATCTAGAATAAAGTAAATATTCTTGATTGGACCTCAAATGCCTTTCATGGTCTGGTTCTGTAAACCACTCCAATTTCATCTCCTATTCTTTTCCTTGTTCATTATCTTCAGCCACCCTATGGTTTAATTCCAACTTTATATATATATATATATATATATATATATATATATATATATATATGTGTGTGTGTGTGTGTGTGTGTGTGTGTGTGTGTGTGTGTGTGTATATTTCTTTCTTCAGTGTTTTATAATTTTTGAGTATAGGTCTTTTACATCCTTGGTTAAGTTTATTTCTAAGTATTTTATTATTTTTGAAGTAATTGTGATTGGGATTGTTTTCTTAGCTTCTCTTTCTGATAGTTTATTACTAGTGTATAAAAATGCAACTGATTTCTGAATATTTATTTTGTGTCTTACTACTTTACTGCATTCATTTATCAGTTCTAGTAGTTTTTCAGTGGAATCTTTAGGGTTCTCTATATACAATATCATGTCATTTGCAAATAATTACAGTTTTAATTATTCTTTTTTTTTAATTTGGATGCCTTTTATTTCTCCTTCTCTTCTGATCCGCGTGGTTAGGACTTCCAGTACTATGTTGAATAAGAGTGGTGAAAGCGGATATCCTTGCCTTGTTCCTGATCTTAAAGGAAATGCTTGTAGTTTAGTTGTCTGGCACAGGGTAGGTTTAATGAGTACTTATTATATAAATGAAGAATGGTATGGGAGGTATTGAGATAAATCTAACTTTTCCCTCATTAAACTTATTTGGCAATAAAATAATTTAAAATATTTATGCAAAAAGTAAACAGTGTTATTTAAACAATAGGTTCTCTATGTTATTTAAAAATAAAGCCAGCATTTTTGCTTTACTTCAGGGCAGTGAAACTTTACACAATACATTATAAAATCATGTGAATCAATACACTAAATATATATTTTCAATTCATACGAGGAAAAGAACCTAACTGAATTGTAAAAAACTAAATAAAGTGCTGTTAGGCTGTCATAGTTGTTTAACATGCAGAAAGTAAACTTATGGCAGTGAAGTTTGGAGATGAATGGGCATATAACATTCATGGTGATTTGAATTAAGGAGCTAGGCTGTTTAAAAGCTCAAGGGAGCCCTAGCCAGTTTGGCTCAGTGGATAGAGCGTCAGCCTGCGGACTCAAGGGTCCCAGGTTCGATTCTGGTCAAGGACATGTGCCTTGGTTGTGGGCACATCCCCGGTGGGGAGTGTGGGGAGGGCAGCTGATCGATGTTTCTCTCTCATCGATGTTTCTGGCTCTCTATCCCTCTCCCTTCCTCTCTGTACAAAATCAATAAAATATATTTAAAAAAAATAAAATAAAAGCTCAAGGGACACCAGGTACTTACTGATAGTATTTAGCTTCAGAAGTTTACATGCTTAATTTTAAAACATAATGCTCTCTTAAAACATAAAGTAGTCACCTTAAATCCAAACCAAAGCAGCAATAGTACTAATGCTATGTTTCTGCATAATCATTATTCAGTCTCACAAAATAAAAAATTAATATTTTGTTAATTTTATTATTCCTTTTATTAAAATGAAGTCATATATAAAATTAGCTATTGGAGAAAATAACTTTGGTATATTAGCTAAACCTTCAAGGATAAAATGCATGCAGGTTCTTCCAATCATCCAGAACTAAAAAGACATGTGAGGTACAAAATGGGCATTTATTTTTATTATTTTCAACAAAAGAGTTATAAGAAGTTTATCAGAAATCATTGTAACAAATTACTTCATGGTACAAAGTTGTCATATACATTTTCCTGGTCAATGGCAGATGGGTCAGCTAAGTTTCATATGCTTATTTAATTCAATACAGAGGGGTTGATAGAGGAAAACCTAATTCCTAAAATTGGGGTATGTTATAAATGTAATTTTTTTGCATGATGTTAGTACTTTTAATCTAATTTAAACAAATTAACTTGTGATAGGAACTGATGCAACTAGATTTCATTAACAAGGTAATGTAAGTATATAACCACTATTTAAAATTGGTTCCCTTCTCAAATTTTCTGTAAGAGCCATTGCTTCACCAGAAATGTTCACAGGGTAGATTTAATAGTATTACAAGTGGGCAGACTAATAAATAACATAGACAATAATAATCAAGGGTAAAATAAAATAATTATCAAGGGTAAACATCCTGGCTTTACCCCAAATCATTTAATAGTATCATTATTATATTATATAATGGTTGTGCTCACTATCATTGTTCTTTATTTTTAAACTAGAGGTCTGGTGCATAAAATTTGTGCACTGGAGGGGGGCGTCCCTCAGCCCAGCCTGCGCCCTCTGACAGTCCGGGACTTCTCATTCCTTACCGCCCACCTGCTCGCTGCTCCTTAGTGCAGCCACGGAGGTGGGAGAGGCTCCCGCCACCACCACTGTACTCACCAGCCATGAGCCTGGCTTCTGGCTGAGCAGCGCTCCCCTTGTGGGAACGCACTGACCACCCGGGGGCAGCTCCTGCGTTGAGCGTCTGTCCTCAGATGATCAGTGTGTATCACAGTGACCGGTCGTTCTGGTTGTTCTGCCGTAAGGGTTGCTTAGGCTTTTACTATATAGATTATTTAGAAGAATAGTGAAATTTTAACTCATGAATATCAAGTTAGTTCCCATATGAGCTTTGCTTCTGAGCTAAGCTTAAATATTCAATTCTTAATCTTGACCTGGAAATGCTGCTATTGTGTGTATTTTTAAAATTTACCTTTATTGTTCTGATGTTTATCTTCCTTTTGTTGAGTTGTGTGAGTACTTTATATATTTTGGAAATTAACCCCTTATCAGATGTATCATTGGCAAGTATATGGTTTTATTTTATAACTCGATTTTCACCAAAAAGATAAAAAGAATAAGAAAGCGAAAGAGGGAGTTTGGGGTTGTGGACAGGATTATCTTCATTATTTTGGCAGGCAGGTAAAAGTTTGCATAGAGCTAAACATATTTGCTGATACTCAACTGTCAAGTTAACTGGAAGTGACAGATTTGCAAAAGCAAAGAGATAAGTATATGAGTCAAGATTTGAAAACCTATAGCACATCAAATCATTTGCTGTTGTGTTTTTAACTGGTCTCTTCTTTCACTTGCTTATCTATATAAGACAATTTATTCTGTTCACTCTTGATGTCCAAGGCTGAATCTGTCTGAGTCATTGGAGTAAATGCCAAAGATAGAGGGAGTTCTAGACTATAATTCATCAGCCTGACTAGTTGCATTACACAGAAGTTTCCCAAACACTTTCACTTTGGCCTGATTACTGGAAAGAGAATAAATTATCAATGAGTTTGGCTTTGCTTTCACATATCTTCCATATACAAAAGATCAATTCAACTGATCAATTAATTGAAGAGTCAAAACATACCCACACTACGGTGAGGACCCTTTTCAGAGAAACCTGTTTGCTTTTATGCACTGAGCCTTCTTCACAGTGAATAGGTGCTGAAGTGACATCATTTAATAGATTATCAACATGTATTGTGTTTGTACAACTTCATTTTCAAATGCAATCCAAAAATGTAAGTCATAGGAGAATTATATTAAAGGTAAATTTATATAGTTCTATCTTTCCAAAAGTTTCAAGTAGTAAAAGAGTATAGATAATACTTTTCAAGATCACATCAGGATGGCTGGAATTAGAACTCAGGCAAACTGGCTCCATAGTCCAAGTTCTTAAGGACTCTTCCATACTGTTCTTTACCATTTCTAAACCATAAATTGCTAAACATTCTGGTCAAGCAGAGATCTATAAACTATTAATCTCTTTGCTTACAACCATTATTTTTTCTAAATCAACAGCTGACTATGGTAATGTTACTAATATTAAATTATTAGATATCAGAGCTGTAGCACTATTTTAGAAAACCCAATCATCGGTCCTTTATACCTTACAGAGAAATACATAATAAGATAATAAGATTGGCTATAGTGTTTTTATACTTCCCTGAGGAAAATTACAATGTGAAATGGAAATTTTGATTTGTGGTGGAAGTGATAGGATGAGGATTTGGAAACTTAGAAAGTAACATAAGGCTAAGTACCTATAGATTATGTGGAAGAGGCTAAGAAAATACATCTAAAAAATATAAGAGGGCCTGAGAGAAGAAAAAATAAGAAGTGATAGAAAATTAAAACAAAATTATAGTGCTTTGCAACGTTACCCATGGTTCTGGTTCAACTGTCTTCAGACCACTGAAAAAATATTTTATTGGCATCTTTGGTTGTTGTAACACAGGCTATTAATACACAAGTTAAAAAAAAAACCCTATGAAGAAACTTTTGTAAAGAGTCCCTTTGTACCATGAATAATTATATCTGATATTATTAAAGACTTAAAAAAATTTATCTTATTTTTATTTGTGTTTATAAAATTATGACTAAAAAAAAAAATAAAAAAAAAATTATGACTAATATCCACTGGCTATGTCTACATCTAAGCCAAGCATTTTAAAGTCTAAAATATGTATATCTGTCTTTACAGAACAGATGTATGCCCAACAAAAAGGAGTTTTAGTAATTTAATTACATTTTAAAAAATTAATTTTTGTTGCCTAAATATCAATACATTTTATCACTGAGAAGAAAATTTACACTATACAGAGAAGCGAAAAACAAAAACAAAAAAACACCCCACATGAACAAAAAAACAAAAACTTAAAAAATCAGTCATAATCTCATCATGCACAGCTAACAACATAATATTTTGGTATACTTTCTGTCATTATGCATTTAAATAATTTAGACTCATGTATTTTATAATATAGTTTCTCCTTTAATATATCACGTTTTAATGTTACTAAATATCCTACATCATGATTTTATGGCTTCAAACACTTTATTGTACAGATATACAGTAATTTATTAAAACCATATTACTGGAAATCTTTTTTTATTTTATTAAATTCATTGGGTGACATTGGTCAACATGAACATATAGGTTTCAGATGTGGGTTTCTATGTTACAAGATCTGTATATTGCATGATGTACTCACTACCCAAAATAAAATCTTCTCTTGTCACTATATATTAGGACTCTCTTCTCCCCTCACCCCCTTCCTTCTGGCAACCCCCACACTGCTGTTTGTGTTCATGGGTTTCAGTTTTATATCCTACATATGAATGAAATCACGTGGTTCTTACCTTTTTCTGACTGACTTATTTCACTTAGCATAATTTAAATATTCTAATTTAAATATTCTAAAAGTCTATTTATGTTGTTGCAAATCATTCTATTTCATCCTTTCTTATGGCTGAGTAGTATTCCATTGTGTACATGTACCACATCTTCTTTATCCAGTCCTCTATCGCAGGACAATTTGGTTGTTTCCATGTCTTGCCTACTGTGAATAATGCTGCGATGAACATAGGGGTGTATATATCTTTGGAAATACATTATTTTGAGGTTTTTGGGTATACATGCAGGAGAAGAATTACTGGGTCGTATGGTGGCTCTATTCTCAATTTTTTTGAGGAATCACCATACTGCTTTTCGTAGTGGTTGTACCACTCTACATTCCCACCAGCAGTGGATAATGTTTTCCCTTTTTTCTACAACCTCTCTAACATTTGTTATTGTTTGTCTTGTTGACAATGGCCACTCTAACAGGAGTGAGGTGGTATCTCATTGTAGTTTTGATATGCATTTCCCTAATTGCCAGTGAGGTTGAACATATTTTCATATATGTATTGGCTGTTTGTAGGTCTTCTTGGAAGAGGTGTATTTTCAGGTCCTCTGCCCACTTTTTTATTGGGTTGTTTGTTTGGTGTTGAGTTTTATGAGTTCTTTATATATTTTGGAAATTAAACCTTTGCCAGAGCTACTGTTTGCAAATCTCATCTCTCATCTGGTTAGCTGCTTCTTTGTTTTGTTGTCAGTTTCTTTTGCTATGCAGAAGCTTTTTAGTTTGATATAGTCCCATCCTATCTAATAAAAGAGAAACATGGTAATTTGCTGTACATCCGCTACCCTTCCCATTGGCTAATCAGGGCGATATGCAAATTAACTGCCAGCCAAGATGGCGACAGGCAGCCAGGCTACTGACATGAACAGGAGGCTTGCTTGCTTCAGTGATGGAGGACTCCAACGTTCCCCGCCTGCCGCTGCTGGGCTCTGAGCTGCTAAGAAACATTGTTACAAATATAGTAGCTAAACAAAACCGCAGAAACCTGTTTTCAGTCAGCTGGGATCTCAGAGCTGGAGTCGCAACAAAGTTTCAAATACAGCCCTAGCCAGTTTGGCTAAGTGGATAAGAGCATCGGCCTGCGGACTGAAGGGTCCCAGGTTCTATTCCAGCCAAGGGCACATGCCAGGGGTTGCGGGCTTGATTCCCTGTAGGGGGCATGCAAGAGGCAGCCGATCAATGATTCTCTCTCATCATTGATGTTTCTATCTCTCTATCCCTCTCCCTTCCTCTCTAAAGTCAATAAAATATATATATATATATATTAAAAAAAGTTTCAAATATAGAAAGTAAACAAAGCCAGAAACCTGCTTTCAGCAGGGAGGTCTCAAAACTAAAGCCGGCTCTCAGCTCCAGTGACAGCCATAAATCCAAGAATAAAAAAAAAAGGAAAAAAAGGAGCAGTTCAGAGTTTCAGTCATCCGCCATCCTGAAAACGGCCCTCAGCCCCTCACCCAAACTGGCCAGGCACCCCAGTGGGGACCCCCACCCTGAAGGGGGTGTGACCAGATGCAAACAGCCATCATCGCCTCATCCAGGCTGGCCAGGCACCCCAGTGGGGACTCCCACCCTGATCCAGGACACCCTTCAGGGCAAACCAGCTGGCCCCCACCCGTGCACCAGGCCTCTATCCTATATAGTAAAAGGGTAATATGCCTCCCAGCACCGTGATCAGCGAGGCCTCCTGGCCCCTGGAGCAGCGTGACAGGGGGCAGTGCCCAAACCCCCTGATCGCCCTGTGGCTCTGTGTGTGACAAGGGGTGGGGCCACAACCTCCCTATCGGCCCTCCTCTGTTCATGACAGGGGAAGGCGCCCCAACCCCCTGATCGGCCCTGCTCTGTGCCTGATGGGGGGAGCTCCCCAACCCTCTGATCGGCCCTGCTCTGTGCCTGATAGGGGGGCGCTCCCCAACCCCCTGGCCCTGCTCTGTGTGTGACAGGGTGGAGCCGCAACCTCCCCATCAGCCCTGCCCTGAGTGTGACAGGGGGTAGTGCCCCAACTCCCTGATCGGCCCTGCTCTGTGGGTGACGGGGCGGCGCCCCAACCTCCCCATCGACCATGCCTTGAGTGTGACAGGGGGCGGCACCCCAAACCCCCAATTGGCCCTACCCTGAGTGTGACTGAAGGTGGCATCACAACCTCCTGATCAGCCCTGCTCTGTGCATGACATGGGGGAGCTCTCCAACCCCCTGATCAGCCCTGCTCTGTGCGTGACAGGGGGCAGAGCCCCAACCCCCCTGATGGGCCCTGCTCTGTGCGTGACAGGGGGCAGTGCCCCAACCCCCTGATCAGCTGGCTCTGTATGTGACAGGGTGACACCACAACCCCCTGATCCGCCCTACTCTGTGCATGACAGGGGGTGGCGCCGCAACCTCCCCATCGACCCTGCCTTGAGTGTGACAGGGGGCGGCGCCCCAACCCCCCAATCGGCCCTACCCTGAGCGTGACAGGGTGGCATCGCAACCTCCTGATCCGCCCTGCTCTGTGCATGACGGGGGGCGGCGCCCCAACTTCCCAATCGGCCCTGCTCTGAGCCCGACCAGGGACTGCGGTGCAGGCACCTAGGGACTGGGCCTGCCCTCTGCCACCTGCGAGTGGGCCTAAGCCAGCAGGTCGTTATCTCCCGAGGGGTCCCAGACAGTGAGAGGGCTCAAGTGGGGCTGAGGCACACCACTTCCCCACCCCCCGCCAGTGCACTAATTTTTGTGCACCGGGCCTCTAGTTCATTTATATTTGTCTTTACTTCCCTTGCCTTTGGGGGCAAGTTCATAAAACGTTCTCTACAACCCAGGTCCATAAGTCTGGTACCTATATTTTCTTCTATGTAACTTATTGTTTTGGGTCTTATATTTAGGTCTTTGATCCATTTTGAATTAATTTTTGTACATGAGGACAAACTGTAATCCAGTTTCATTTGTTTGCATGTGGCTTTCTTGTTTTCCCAGCACCATTTATTGAGGAGACTACCTTTACTCCATTGTGTATTTCTGGCTCTTTTGTTGAAAATTATCTCTGGTTTTATAGTTGGGCTCTCTATTCTGTTCCATTGGTCTCTGTGTTTGTTTCTCTGCCAATACCATACTGTTTTGATTATTGTAGCTCTGTTGTATAATTTGAATTCAGGTAGCATGATACCTCCAGCTTTGTTCTTTTTTTCCTCAGGATTCCTTTGACTATTCAGGGTCTTTTGTGGTTCCATACAAATCTGAAAGATTTCTCATCATATTTCTTTAAAAAATGACATTGGGGCTTCCACTTCCTTCTCTCTCTTTCTCCTCCATCGAGGTGTGTGTGTTTGCTTCTTGTTCACCATGTCTTCCCACAAGACTTTC